TCCATGCAGTCATGCTGGCCACATGACCTTGGAGGTGTCTATGGACAATGCCGGCTCTTTCGTTCAGAAATGGAGATAAACACCACCCTACAGAGTTGGACACTATTAGACTTAATGTAGGGGGAAGCCTTTATCTTTACCTTTCCTACTCTCAATCTTATTCCCTCTGCTACTTGCCCAAAATGTGTTGCTTGATTGTCCAGAGTGTGTCCTAAAATAGCCCCTTGCAAAGCCTTACATTGCCCCCCATTTCCCTCTATATGAAAGGCACTCATCCTTTCTGTTACAGATGGGACAGGAATGCTGGGCCGAATTCTCTTTGCCTGGAGTAAGGGGTGAGTCCAGTTTCCATTTCCATGTCAATGCTGATGTGTCTGGTGAAATAAATGTTGGGAGGCACATATTTTAAATTATGCATGTCCACCATTTTTCCAACAAAGTCATTGTGATTCTTGACCAGGCATGGGCAAACTTTGGCCCTCCAGGTGTTTTGGACTTCAACTCCCACAATTCCGGCTGTTAGGAATTGTGGGAGTTGAAGTCCAAAACACCTGAAGGGCCAAAGTTTACCCATGCCTGTTCTTGCTTTTTCTGTAGTGTTTATGCAACAACCTTGAAAGGTAGGCAAAATTGAGGGATTGATCCAAGCTTGCTTAGTGAATTTTGTGATTTGAATCCAGCTTCCCTTAGTTCTAACTCAGGTATGGACAAATATTGGCCCTCCAGGTGTTTTGGACTTCAACTCCCACAATTCCTAACAGCTGGTAGGTTGAAGTCCAAAAGACTTGGAGGGCCGAAGTTTGCCCATGCCTGATCTAACTGCTACACCACACTGTCTTTTGTGTGATCCTTAAGGCCTCTTCTTTTTCCTTTTTCATCTTCAGGAGCAAACTGGACTGTGATGCTAAGCAATGGAGGTAATGAGGAGGACTCACTCCCTTCTGTTTTTGTCTTAAATTATAAGTCTCTTCCTTCTTTATTCCATGATCTACTTTTAGCTACAAATTAGAASTCTGGATGGATGATGCTTCAGCTGAGAATTCCTACATGGCAGGGGATAGGATTGGATGGCCTTTGGGATCATTTGAATAGAAGTGCAATGACTGGTAACTCGACCATAGGAATGGAACAACGGAAATGGTATCGGATTGTGAACTTGACGATGAGGCGACTCGGAATGGCTTGTAGTAATGTTGATGTTTTTGATGAGATGTTTTRATAATGATGTACTGTGGATTATTTTATTTTATGTTGTATTTTGCACCTGTTTTTCTATGTTGTACACCGCAATGAGTCGCCATTAGGCTGAGAATTGCAGTATATAAGCGAAGTAAATAAATAAATAAATAAATCATTTCCAACCTGGATGTCATGATGCTTCATATTATCACCAGTTGGTTTAGGATTGGAGCTTTCAAGACTCTGTGTTGTGACACGTTAATGTGTCAACGGCAGTGTGTAGGTGTATTGCACAATTGCAAGGAAAAACGTCTAAGTCTATTTGAAATTAGCAATAAGTCATGTATTTTTAAAAATATAAAGGAAAGGTTTCCATGATATATGTTGCATCCCTATTCTTTTTGTTGCTATAATTCATATGTCTTCCTATTATTATTATTATTATTATTATTATTATTATTATTATTAGCTGTCCCCTGCCACGCATTGCTATGGCCCACATGGGGGTTCTGTGTGGGAGGTTTGGGCCAATTCTATCATTGGTGGGGTTCAGAATGCTCTGTGATTGTAGGTGAACTATAAATCCCAGCAAATACAACTCCCAAATGTCAAGATTCTATTTTCCCCAAACTCCACCAGTGTTCACATTTGGGCATATTGAGTATTCTTGTAGAGTTTGGTCCAGATCCATCATTGTTTGAATCCACAGTGATCTTTGGATGTAGGTGAACTACAACTCCAAAATCAAAGGACACTGCTCACCAAACCCTTCCAGTATTTTCTGTTGGTCATGGGAGAACTGCGTACCAAGTTTGGTTCAATTCCATCATTGGTGGGGTTCATAATGTTCTTTGATTGTAGGTGAACTATAAATCCCAGCAACTACAACTCCCAAATGACAATATCAATTTTTTTTAGTGAAGGACATACATTGGGTTGTTAGGTGTCTTGTGTCCAAATTTGGTGTCAATTTGTCCAGTGGTTTTTGAGTTCTGTTAATCCCACAAATGAACATTACATTTTTATTTATCTAGATTATTATTATTATTATTATTATTATTATTATTATTATTATTCATAACTCACTTTTATTTCTCCTGTAGGAGACTCAAAGCATCTTAACATAAAAGCATTAGCATTCCTATCTCTTATAAAGAGTGGGTTTAACTTTCAGTTTGATAGCAAAACTGGATACAGTAGAGTCTTGCTTATCCGACCTTTGCTTGTCCGACATTCCGTCTTATCCGATGCTCTTATCCGGTGCCCTGCTTTTCCTCCAGCATTTCCCCTTCAATTAAAGGAGTGCTCCACAACTCTCTCTCAATTCCCTTAAGTGGAAAACACAAGACAAAGAGGAGGAGGAGGAGGGAGGAAAGCGGGGAAAGAGACAGGACTGGATGCAGAAGCGTCCTCCCTCCTTCCCTCTGTGATTTCCATGCTCCTCTTCCTGCTGGGCTACTCTAGCCCTGAGGCGTTGCCTTGCCTTAACACTTTGAGTCCCTGTTGTTAGTTCTCTAGTTCTCTAGCGCTGTATTATCTGTGCTCCGTATTATCTGACATTTTCATTTATCTGGCGTTCTGCCAACCTGTTTATGTCGGATAAGTGAGATTCTACTGTAACTGTGTCGTGAATGACTTATTTATTTATTTACAGTATTTATATTCCACCCTTCTCACCCTGCAGGGCACTCAGGGTGGATTACAATGCACATATACGTGGCAAACATTCAATTCCATTTAGACTTACAACATATATAGACTGACACAGAGCATTTAACATTCCAGCTTTTCTGTCTTCATGAAGCTTGATTCCAGCCACAGAGGGAGCTGCCGCTTCATCGTCCACTTGTGACACAGAGTCCTTTGATAGAGTACTTCCTCATTCTATTGCATGCTGCTGTGAGGTTTTATGGCATCGTAAATTAGTTACATTAGCCTCCCCGCATAAAGTTGTATTTAAATTTCCTACTTGACAGATGCAACTTTCTTTGGGACTGCATAGGTTGACAGCAAGCTAGACTATTAATGGTTGGGCTGGCTTTGAACTCATGACCTCTCGGTCAGTAGTGATTTAATGCAGCTGGCTAGTAACTAGCTGCACCACAGCCTGCCACAGCCCGTGCAAAAGTATACTGGTTGGGTACATGTTTCCCCTTTGACCATAGCTGATTGAGCTTTTAACCTTTCACTTTACCCTTTAGACTCTTTGCCGATGTGCTCAACGACGTGGCCATCTTAATGGAGATCCTGGCACCAGCATTCCCAGCGTTCTTCACCCTCATTGTGTGCATCAGTGGCTTTTTCAAAGTAAGCAAGCAAGGACTTTTATGGCTTAGACATGGGAGTGGGTTTGTGATATTTGGGCAGTAATGCACAGAGCAATAAGAGGTTCTTTGGTGTTTGGTAGAAATGGAAGGAGCACACTTTGTGAAACTCCTCATTTGATCTCGTCTTGGGAAGAAGGATTGGTTTGATGTCTGAAAAGAGTTTAGTAGAATGTTTCATCTTGATCCCTGGCACTTATGGGATAGTGCATTCTCGATGTGAATTTTCACTCTGGACTTTGATGCATTACACAGCTTTCTGCATGTGGTCAACAAAGCTTTTTTTCTTTGGTTCGTTTTCCTCTCTTTTGTAGTGCATTGTGGGAGTTGCTGGAGGTGCCACCCGGGCAGCCCTTACCATGCACCAGGCCCGAAGGGACAACATGGCAGACGTTTCCGCCAAAGATGGAAGCCAGGTGAGAGGAAGTCCTTGAGATGGCTGGACAAGGGCATGAAAGGCCTGGGAATTAAAATTGACCCTCACCTGATTTCCTAAGTTGCATGTTCTATGTTGCAATTACAGAGACACAGCATGGCCACATTTTTTCCACTTGATATTTATATTATCTTGCTTGGTAAAGAGTTTTGAGCAGCTCATTTGCAGGGTCTTATTCTATGACTTATTTTAGGGGTTTTCCTGGCAAGATTTGTTCAAAGGTGGTTTCCCATTGCCTTCTTCTGAGACTTGTTTTTTTTTTCATGTCAGGAGTGACTTGACAAACTGCAAGTTGCTTCTGGCGTGAGAGAATTGGCCAACTACAAGGACACCGCCTAGGAAATGCCTGGATGTTTTGATGTTTTACCATCCTTGTGGGAGGCTTCTCTCATGTCCCTGCATGGGGAGCTGGAGCTGACAGAGGGAGCTCATCCACGCTCTCCCTGGATTCGAACCTGCGACCTGTTGGTCTTCAAGGGTTTAACCTATTGCACCACTGGGGGATCCTTCTGAGGCAGAGAGTGTGTGACTGGGTTTCCATGGCTAAATGAGAATTCGAACCCTGGTCTCCCAGAGTGCTAGTCCAATGCTGGCCTGAGTCACAGAAACCCATTTATTGACCTTGAGCAAGTCACATTCTCTCAGCCCCAGAAGGAAGCAATGGCAAATCCCATACGAAGAAATCATATGTGTCAATGTCGCCATATGCCACAGTCGACCAGAAGGCATAATGCAGCAACCACCAATAAAGGTGTTGCCTGGTTCTCCCTTTTGTTTTTCTCTCTCCTAGGAGACACTGGTGAACTTAGCCGGCTTACTTTTCAGTCTTCTCCTCATCCCTCTTGTAGCTGACAATCTCTGGTGAGTGAATGGTTGCCAGGCTAAGTTGAAGATGAGGCAAGACTTACAAGAATATAAGGCAGAGATGGGTGACTGCCAAAGTTGGGGTCCAGCCTGGCTTTCCATGTACACTTCTACTGTGTCCCACTTTTGTAAACAAATTATACATAGGAAAATTTCAGTAACCACAGAACACGCATTTGTAATTATACTTAACAGTGTCAGTGGGAAAAAAAGGTCTCTCAATGAATTTACTATGTCTTGCAGGTGATTCTATGGTATTCTTCCACTGGAATATGGCATAGAGTCACCCTGAAGGACCTAGGAAATTCCTAGATATTATGAGGCAAAGGTTTTCCCTGACATTAAATGTAGTCGTGATTGACTCTGGAGGTTGGTGCTCATCTCCATTTCTAAGCCAAAGAGCCAGCGTTGTCCGTAGACACCTCCAAGGTCATGTGAACAGCATGACTGCATGGAGCATTGTTACTTTCCCGCAGAAGCAGTACCTATTGATCTACTCACATTTGCATGTTTTCGAACTGCAAGGTTGGCAGGAGCTGAGGCAAACAGCGGGAGTTTACCCTGCTCCCCGGATTCAAACCGCCAATCTTTCAGTCAGCAAGTTCAGCAGCTCAGTGGTTTAACCTGCTGCGTCACCAGGAGGGCCCTAGATATGATACTTTTCCAGAAATCTCAAGTTCAGTCAGGACAACTCCATGCTATGCTACACCTGCATGGATTGGTTGTTACTGTACTTTTTGTTTGAAATATTTTGAAGGTCAAAATGACCTCGTTTTCCATAGGTGGTGAAGGGAAATGTCACCATCTCCTCCTATTGGGGTTGTTTTAGATTCAGGAGAAGTCTTTATTGCATCAGAAAGTCAACTCGGAGTATTGGGGCATTTAAATTGAAAAAATAATAATTTTCCCTTTAGCCTCACCTATTCCCTCTATGGCCTCTTCACCATTCTGCACCTCTATGCCAACTACCGAGCTGTGAGGGCTGTCTGCATGGAGACCCTCAACCGTGCGCGGCTTAGCCTGGTCTTCCAGCATTTTTTGGAGTCAATAGAAATACCAGGCCCAGATGTCATCAATCCTCAAGAGCCCTTACTACCAGGTAACTACCAGGTTGATTACGTTGTCCATACTCTGGAGTTGCTGCTGTGTTTTGGTCTGATGCTGTGCTGGTGATCCTTGTGTCTCCCTGATATTCTTACCCTTCAAGTCAGTGGGAAATAATGTTGCAGTACAACAACGTCAAGCAAAGCTGTACTATTTCTATCTTTGGTGTAAACACTACATAGCACATGTCACATACATAATAGGGCTTTTGCCGAATCCCAAAACCTGTCAGTTACAATACTTTGAGCATGAGAGTGATGCTCATAGAAACCTTGAATGTATCTCTCTTGACTAGGGTTCAGACATCAACTGAAGATAACTCTCGGAGCTCCACTTCACTCAGTAACTTCCAAGTGAGTAGCAACTCTTCACTGTTCCTTGCCTTGCAACTGTTGGGGGATTTCCCAACATACCTACATATATTTATGTTCATAAATGTGCATTCATTGGGTGCCGTAAAGCAGAGGTTGAATGAATGTGTTTCAAGTATTTGCAAAGATGACTTCGAAATCCCTTTGAACCCAACAATGTTGTGATTTGTTTACAAAGGCTTGTGTGCATACATACCCAATTGGTTAACTTACTTGTTTTCCCTGGGCAGGTGTTTATTGATATTTTAAAAAGCAAATAATAATAATAATAATAATAATAATAATAATAATAATAATAATGGCTGACACGATATGAGGATTTAAAGATCGAACTGCAAGGACTCTGGCACAAGCCAGTCAAGGTGGTCCCAGTGGTGATCGGCACACTGGATGCAGTGCCTAAAGACCTTGGCCTGCACTTAAACACAATTGGTGCTGAGAAAATTACCATCTGCCAGCTGCAGAAGGCCACCTTATTGGGATCTGCATGCATTATTCGCCGATACATCACACAGTCCTAGACACTTGGGAAGTCTCCAACGTATGATCCAATTCAACAGGCAGCAGAGTGTCTGCTGTGGTCTCATCTTGTTGTGTTTCTAATAATAATAATAATAATAATAATAATAATATAGGTGACAGCAGGATGGAAGAGAAACAACTGGAAAAGCTGACACAATATGAGGATTTAAAGATCGAACTGCAAAGACTCTGGCACAAGTCAGTAAAGGTGGTCCCAGTAGTGATTGGTACACTGTGTGCAGTGCCTAAAGACCTTGGCCTGCACTTAAACACAATTGACACTGACAAAATTACTGTCTGTCAGCTGCAAAAAGCCACCCTACTGGGATCTGCATGCATTATTCTTCGATAAATCACATAATCCTAGACACTTGGGAAGTGTCTGACGTGTGATCCAATACAACAGCCAGCAGAGTGATCTTGTTTGCTGTGCACTAATCTTGTTGTGTTTCTAATAATAATAATAATAATAATAATAATAATAATAATAATCTGTTAAATGGGAATCTTATAGGTGCAATTGTTGTTTGCCTTCAAGTCATTTTCAACTTCTAGCAACCCTAAGGTGACCCAATTCAGAAGGGGGTTTCCCTTCTCTGAGGCTGAGAGTATGTGACTTGTCCAAGGTGAACCAGTGGGTTTCCATCGCCAAGTAGGGACTTGAACCCTGACCCAGTGCTCAGACTTCGATGTCATTCTGACTTCATGACAAAAGCAGATGAATTTGAATTTACCCATTTAGTTTGCAATTCACACCTCACCTTTGGAGCGCTTCCTTCATTCAGAGCATTCATACATTTTCCTTCAATCCCTAACAGTGTTGCTGAATTCCAGAAAGCTCTGGAGGGGAATTCTACAAACTACTTAATCTTCTTCAATCAAGCAGCTGGTGAGTATATGAGAAAGTGATGTGTAAGAAGTGTTTAGGTGGAAAGACATTTTGGGAATGTGGAAAGAGGATGACGTTTGTACCATGGTTGGCACAAGGTTAGAATACTATAAAATAGAATGCAGTGGCATGCTCAGAATGCTCTGAGGATGCTTGCTACAGATGCAGGCAAACCATCAGGAGAGAATGCTTCTAGAACATGGCCATACAGCCCAAAAAACCTACAACGATCCAGTGATTCTAGCCATGAAAGCCTTTAATAATAAATGTATAGTTTGCTGCGACTGCATCTAGGAGTTGAAAGATAGTTTTCTTCTTTGAATTAAAATAATGCATTGTTGTTGTTGTTGCTGTTGTTGTTGTTGTTAATATTATTATGATATTCCATATCTATATCTTAAAGGAGACTCAAAGCAGCTAGCTGATGGGTTCAGGAAACCATAGTGCAAAACAAAACAAAACAAAACAAAAACATTTGCAAGTTCTGAGAGATATTTTCTTGTTGATTCTTCTATCAGTCTTCTATCTTCCACAGGGACTATCTCCGTCCTCCTCCACCGACAGGCAAGGAGTGTGGATGTGATTAAAGCCTGCAGCCATGCTCTTCTCCTGGAAGTCCTGCTGTCCCGGGATGTGGCCTTGGATGTGATTGTGAAAAAAAAATCCCTCTTAGCTGTGCAGAAGCAGCTTCGTGAAGGTAATGAACTGCTCAACCCAGAAGTGCATCTGGGGAAGGCCTTATACGGATCACATAGGCAGTATGAATGGGAAGATACTTAGAACAAGGAAAGGTGCCTCCTTGAGACATGGGAGGTCTCTTCCTAAACCACGCAGATGACATTGCACTGGGTGATCATGTAGAATAACCCATCTTTCTTTTTGTATCATCCAGGATCTAAGAACAACGATTGCAGTGTGATTTCTGAGACACATAGGGTACTAGACATGATATTACCTAAATTTCTGGCAGGTATGTCATATAAGTAAATATTAAAACCATTTGCTTCAAAAATTTGGAAAAGTCAGATTTCAACACGAGTGTGTTTTGCAAGTTGAACAAGTTTGCATCTAACTTTTGTGTGTGTATGTGTGTGTGTCAGGAGCGACTTGAGAAACTGCAAGTCGCTTCTGGTGTGAGAGAATTGGCCGTCTGCAAGGATGTTGCCCAGGGGACACCCAGATATTTTACCATCCCATGGGAGGCTTTTCTCATGTCCCCACATAAGAAGCTGAAGCTGAAGGATGTCCGGAAGTCACAGAATTTTTTTATTTCACTTTCTCATTTTGGTTTATTGTTTTACTTTATCTATATATACACACACACTCACATGTACGTATATATGAATATATGTAGATGTGCGTATATACAGCGGGGGAAAAAAGTATTTAGTCAGATACCAATTGTACAAGTTCTCCCACTCAAAAAGATGAGAGAGGCCTATAATTTACATCATAGATAGATCTCAACTATGAGAGACAACATGAGAAAACATATCCAGAAAATCACATTGTCTGATTTTTAATGAATTTATTTGCAAATTATGGTGGAAAATAAGTATGTGGGGAGACTAACTTATCTAATTTACAATGCCATGGAGCCCCCGGTGGCGCAGTGGGTTAAACCCCTGTGCCGGCAGGACTGAAGACCGACAGGTCGCAGGTTCGAATCTGGGGAGAGGCGGATGAGCTCCCTCTATCAGCTCCAGCTCCTCATGTGGGGACATGAGAGAAGCCTCCCACAAGGATGATAAAAACATCGAAATCATCCAGGCGTCCCCTGGGCAACGTCCTTGCAGACGGCCAATTCTCTCACACCAGGAGTCACTCCTGACACGACAAAAAAATGCCATAAAAATCTCCAGCAGTGTGCAAAAGAATGAGGAAGTACTCCATCGGTGTCACAAGTAGACAGTGAAGCAACAGCTCCCCCGGTGGCCAGAATTCGAGCATACCCTCATGAAGCTAGAATGTTAAATACTCAGCCTCTGTGTCTTTGTCTATATATGTTGTATGTCTAAATGTCATTGAATGTTTGCAATGTATATGTGCATTGTAATCCACCCTGAGTCCCCTATGGGGTGAGCAGGGTGGAATATAAATACTGTAAATAATAATAGTAAATAATAATCATAATAATAAGAAATAAGAAAACCCCATATTTGCTTTGTACGTTGCTTTGCAGAAAGTTGGTAGCAAGACAGTCTAGATTAGGCCTGGGCAAACTTGGGCCCTCCAGGTGTTTTGGACTTCAACTCCCACAATTCCTAACAGCCTATTTGAAGGCTGAAGTTTGGCCAGGCATTATTTGGGGATACCACATTCTTGTTCTTTCATTTATCTGCATACCAATTTATCTCTTCCAAGGTTTGACGGAAGCAGGATGGGTGACAGAGCGGAATCTTTTGGGCCCGGAAGAGTGGCGCGTGGATTGGACCGTTGCTGGGAAGAAAACACTTTGACACTGGAAGAGTGTTGAACATTGGAGAATCAAAGAGACTGGATGGTTGGCGCTGGATCTGTCTTCGCCTCTTTAGAGATGGGCAAAACTGTAATGCCAAAAAGGGAGGCAATGTGCAGACCGTGTACCTGCTCCCTCTTTCCCAGAATCTGTGATTTGGCAGCGGGGCAGAAAAAAAATAAACATTTTGTATTGGTTTTATATGAGGTCTTTTAAGGCACAAAGTGAAAGACAGTGCAGATAACATTACACTAGGGTATGGATGTGACATTTTTAATCCCAATGCTTGTAACTTTGGTTTGTTTATCTCTTCCACAGTATCGTTTGAGTGGCTTGCCTTTTCTGTAGCATAAAAGGATCAATATAACTTTCTGGTGGTGTAGCAGGTTAAAGCGCTGTGCTGCTGAACTTGCTGACTGAAAGGTTGGCGGTTCAAATTCGGGGAGCGGGGTGAACTCCCGCTGTTAGGCCCAGCTTCTGCCAATCTAGCAGTTTGAAAACATGCAAATGTGAGTAGATCTGTAGGGGGTTTTTTTGTGTCAGGAGCGACTTGAGAAACTGCAAGTTACTTCTGATGTGGGAGAATTGGTTGTCTGCACAGACGTTACCCAGGGGACACCCAAATATTTTTTTGATGTTTTACCATCCTTGTGGAAGGCTTCTCTCAAGTCCCCACATGGGGAGCTGGGGCTGACAGAGAGAGCTCATCCACACTCCTTGGATTCGAACCTCTAACCTGCCAGTCTTCAGTCCTGCCAGCACAAGGGTTTAACCCATTGCGCTACCAGGGGCTCCTAGATTAATGGGTACGTTTCTGCAGGAAGGTAACGGTACTCCATGCAGTCATGCCGGCCACAGGACCTTGGAGGTGTCTATGGACAACGTTGGCTCTTCAGCTTAGAAATGGAGATGAGCACCCCCCCCCCCCCCAGAGTGGGACATGATTAGACTCAATATCAGGGGAAGCCATTACCTTTACCTATAACTTCCTCTCAGATTCAATTATTCATTCTGTTCCATTGAAATCTGGGAATTCGTATAAAAAATAATGGTGTAACAGCTTTGGAACAGATGATTAGATGGTGACATGTCGGAACTTTAAAAGGCATTTCAAAAGGGCCTTTACGTCCTTAGAATTAATAACACTATGTAACAAAATTTGATTTTTTTTCCTGTTCCTGGTCTGAAAGTGTTATTTCCTGTTTAATTGTGTGGTGCTTTCTTTGAAAGCAGTTGTTAATACTCCAGAAATGTCATTTTTGTGCCTGCCACAAACTTTGTTGAATTGGTTGAGACTCTAAGATATTCACTGAAAAGTTATAGCAAAATGTGCTGCGGGATGTCCCACAAAAACCAAAGTTTTGCAGTTTAATAAACATTTTCCATGTTTTTATGATAGTTAGGAAATGACATGTGTAGACCAGGGGTCCTCAAACTAAGGCCCGGGGGCCGGATACGACCCTCCAAGGTCATTTACCCGGACCTCACTCAGGGTCAACCTAAGTCTGAAATGACTTGAAAGCACAACAACAACAACAACAAATTCCATCTCATCAGCCAAAAGCAGGCCCACACTTCCCATTGAAATACTAATAAGTTTATATTTGTTAACTTTGTTCTTCATTTTACAAATAAGATATGTGTAGTGTACACAGGAATTCATTCATTTTTTTGTTTGTTTTCAAATTATAATCCAGCCCTCCAGCAGTTTGGGGGACTGTGACCTGGCCCTCTGTTTAAAAAGTTTGTGGGCTCTGGTGTAATGACACACTTTTTGTCCTAGGTGACATAGGTAAAAGTTTCTCCTTCGATTATTTCATGTTGTGGACATCAGCTAGTCCAGTGCACTTTGATTCCAGTTTTTATTTTATTATTGCTTGTATAGTTGCCTTTATTTTCCTGCGTCTCTTCCAAAAAGGTCGAGTACATGGGACCTTTCCTCCCCATTTTACTATTATAACAACAACCCTGTGAGGTAGGCCAGGTTTAGAAATGAGACTGGCCCAGTAAGTGTTGTGGCTGAGTGGAGACTTGAACCTAGATCTTCCCTATCCAATGCTCTATCTACAAATTACGGACCCTCAGAGTTTACGTTGGGACCTCCACAGTCCCCAGGAGGCTGCAATATGCCCAGAAGGATTGGTGGGAAGGGATCATAGTTTATGATGAGATACCACAGTGGGTGGCACTCAGGCATAGTAGCCCCACAAGAAGCTTGCGAGAGCCATCATGACCAGAGCGTTGATGTTGACCACGCGCCTCCAGACTGGATGCTCTGAGATGTCCGTTAGGCGCCGCAACTCTTCCGCTTTCTCCTCCGGGGTTGGCTCTGCCTGATCTTGATGGCTTGTCCCCGTCCCACAGAACCAGTTGAGACATTGACGCAGCTTGCCTATAGGAAGTGCTGTCTTCTCATCTATGGGGAAAGAACAGACAGAAGACCATGAAGCTGATTATAAGGCTGCAAATGAGACCATCCCAGGAGAATGGGGCTCCCATGGGAGTTGTGGATGAGCTGGGGATCACACCAGGAATGGTTGGAGCAAAGCTTAGAGACGTTACATTTTGTTCTACAGCCAACCATAAAAGACATTAAGTCTAGTCATGTCTGACTCTGGGGGATGGTGCTCATCTCCATTTCTAAGCCAAAGAGCCGGTGTTGTCCATAGATGCTTCCAAGGTCCTGTGGCCAGCATGACTGTATGGAGCGCCATTACCTTCCTGCCATTACCTATTGATCTACTCACATTTGCATGTTTTCGAACTGCTAGGTTGGGAGAAGCCGGGGCTAGCAATGGGAGCTCACCCCACTCCCTGGATTCAAACTGCCAACATTTCAGTCAGCAAGTTCAGCAGCTCAGTGGTTTAACCCGCTGTGCCACTGAGCGCTCCATGCTGACTGGAAAAATTATACGGCTATGAATAGGGCCATAAAGCTTGCAGAAGTTGCCTTTTGGTCTTCAGCTGACCATGCTCCTAGCGGAGTCATGGGAACTGTAGTCCAAAAAGTATGTTTTCTGAGATTGAAGGATGCCTGCTTTCCTATCTCCAACACTCCCATGTTGTCTCACCTTCCACTTCCAGGATGTTCTCCAGCTTTCCATTCTTTGCTTGGGCCATCTCTATCTGCTGCTGGCGCGCCGCCTCCTTTAGTTTAGCTTCGTCCTCTTCCTCGGTGTCCAGATCTATCCGTTCCTCCTTACTGTACCTGAGGCTGAACACGAGGCGATGCAACTGGCAAGACAAAGAGGGTTTTTTAAAAAGATGCCTGAATGGAAGGAACAGGACTGAAGTGGATGAATGGAGACAGAAAAGGGAACAAGATTACAAAGGAAGACTAGAAAGAGAAAGGGATGAATAGAGTAATATTCACAGACTATGATCCATTAGCAAAGTTATTAACAAAGACTATAGCTTTACAGAACACTAAATATATTAATATACAAGCCTTGTTGCTGTAGATACTAACAAAAGGATTCTTCTCAGAGATAAACTGGATTATCTTTAACACATCAGCACTAACTGACCACTGTAAAGACCTGGAAGACCTGTATTGCCTCGCTTGGCCTTTGGAAAATTTAGAGCAAGAGTCATGATTAGGATCTTTCTGGATCCTATTACCTTCTGCTCCACTCCCTATATAAACATGCTTTGTGCCTGGGGCGTTAATACTACTCAGTACTGCATCCAAAGAAGTGGGCTTATATCCACGAAAACTCATTCAAAAGTAGTAAACTAATCAGTCTTTATAGATATTGCCAAATTTATTTTTCCTGTTTTTCAATGAGAGAAAATGTTTTTAATGTTTTTAAAGTGACCCCAAAGATGTGTATTTCAAAACATAAAACCTTTCTTTTTGTGTACTCTTATAAACAACATCTCTTCCTGCACCTTTTCGTTATTATGTCATTAATATTTTTTCTCTATGCAGGTTCTCCCTAAATTAATAGCCCTCCCTAAACTGCAAATCCCAGGGTGTTTTCATGGAATCATAGTACTCTGATTTTTGGAAAGGCATGACCTTTTAGAGGTCATAACTTTTTTGGAAAACCAGAATCTCCATAATGTTTTGGAGAAAATTAGCATTTACAACCATTTGAAAATCATAACCTTTTGTAAAAGTATGATCATCCATGAGAAGAGCCAAAAACTTAAGTAAAATATTCTCTTTAGTGGTATATAACCACATGTGCTTATGCAAGGCAATTTGGTTTTCAGTTGTTAGACTGATAATCTAGTTGTCTCTGATCTGTTAGGAATAGATATTATGTCAATACACAAAATATAGCAGTTCTTCAGAAGTGTTTTCTTCAGTGCCCCAAAAAAATCTTTTCTCCCATACAATATCTTGTTTCTATATGATGCTCTCAAGAGAAAAAATAAAGTAGACTTCATTAAAAGTAACATATTTGCTTTACACACAACCTTCATGTATTCAGCATACAGGTACATAACTTGTCAATCAAGTTACAGATAGATTTGAAGTATTGTCGAAGGCTTTCATGACTGGAATCACTGGGTTGTTGTAGGTTTTTTCGGGCTATATGGCCATGTTCTAGAGTGATTTTCTCCTGATATTTCGCTTGCATCTATGGCAAGCATCCTCAGAGGTAGTGAGATTTGAAGTAGTTTCTCTATCCAGATAACACAGGGCATCTTTCTTATATAATCAACAGCAACATGAGTTTGCTCTTAACAGTCCAAATTCTAATGGCGTCTCTATGTTCTAAAATGGAGTCTCAGATCTGAGCAATCCCAGATCTGATCATGTGGTCTGCAGCCCCTCCCACAACCTCAAGAAACATAGAGTAAAGGGAAAGCTGCATACAAAACATACATATATTTATACATGGCTCTCATATCTCCTCTCAGCCTTCTCTTCTTCAGGCTAAACACGCCCAGCTCTTTAAGCTGCTCTTCATAGGGCTTGTTCTCCGGACCCTTGATCATTTTAGTCACCCTCCTCTGGACACATTCCAGCTTGTCAATATCTCTCTTCAATTGTGCCCAGAATTGGACACAATATTCCAAGTGTGGTCTAACCAAGGCAGAATAGAAGGATAGCATTACTTCTCTAGATCTAGACCCACTAAGCAGTTTTGCAAATATTGCCTGAAGAGGCAGGGGACTAATAAATAAGAAGTATCTCTTCCTTAGAATTGTAGTGCTTTGAAAGAGGAACCCCAGGAAAATGGTAAAATAAAGGAGGAATTTCAGTAGACATTTGCTCCAGAATGCCCAGTTCAGATTTTTGGCCTGAATTGTTCACCTGCCATACTTACATGCTTGTCCTGGATCGGAGGGGTGCAGAGAGAGACCACCATTGTGATAACAGCCGTAGCAGAAAAGAGGATGACGGAGAAATAGAGGTAGTGGACGCCACAGATCAGGCGGGGGCAAGAACTGGGAAACAGGCAGCTCCCTGTTCCGTAAATGAATTCCGGGATCATCCGGGCCATGCCAATGGCGAGTCCTGAAACCAGGCCCCAGAATGCACCCTGTAGGAGAGGAGCAATATGGGGTGAAGTTGGAGGAGAAGCAACAAAGCAGAAGGTGGGATGGTTCATGTTAGGTGGCATTTGTCTCTCCTCTTTTCAATCTCAAGTGCACATAGGTTGGGAAAATTACTTCATTGGATTACAATTTGGAGGAACTTCAACTAGCACAGACATTTGGGGAGCTGCAGTCCCCTCAAGAAAGTAATTTTTTCCACCTCTAATATTTACAGCCCACAACAGACCCTAAAAAAGTGATAATGTTCTTAAATATATGGCATATTGGCCTAATTCTATTGTTTTGAGTAAAAGAGAACCATTGGCTCAGAGTGCATCTACACTGTACAATTAATGCTGTTTGACCCCACTTTAAGATCCATAGCTCAATGCTATGGACTTCTGCAAATTGTAGTTTGTCAAGGCACTCTTTGGCAAAAAATTCTAAAGAGCTTGTAAAACTATAACTCCCATGAGTCCATAGCACTGAACCATGTCAGCTACTGTTGTGTCAAACTGCATTAATTCTGCAGTGTAGATGCACTCTCAGATTTACTTATACGTTGACTCACGATAGGATAATTGACTTAATGGATCTACTTTAATTGGAACTATCAGGACAACAACATCGTGCTCTTTGCTTTAACATCTATAACAACAAATACCAACCATCAGACAAATTGGTTCCAGGTGTCCAGGTCATACCCAGATCGACGCCCCCCCCCCCCTACTCTGAGCATTTAGGTTTGCTTCCTACAGTTTATGACTCTTCTATCCAGCATGTATTCATGTTGAGAGGCTTATTTCTGAGCTACTCACCTGCTCGTTGACCCTTTTGACAAAGACTCCAAGGAGAAAGATGGCAGCAATAGGTGGGGCCAAGTAGCTACTGACCGACTGGATGTAGTCAAAAAGCTGCCCACCTTGAGCAGCCTGCACTATTGGGATCCATGCAATACTGATTCCCACAAGGACCAAGATCCACACCCTGGGGGGAACCATACAAAAGGTAAGAAGGCATCGTTTCATGGTGGACAAAGGATGGCTGCCAGAAAAAAGTCTAGAGAGAAAAAAACATCTCATAGTGGACAAAGGATGGCTGACAGGAACAACTGAAGAAGTCTAGAGAGAGCAGCTTAATGGGAGCATGGAAAGCATTCTGTTTGAAATTAGGAAATAAGACTTCCTTTCTGGCATCTGCAAAGATCAATGAAGGTCAGGGGTTTAATTTCAGTGAGGCAATTAATCAGACCTCAGTTTTACCCTAATTTAAAACGTGCTTCTTTGCCAGCAGGCATGTAGCCGGGGGGGGGGGGGCTCGGGGGGCTTCACCCCCCCCCCCCCGAAATTCTCATGGTTGTTCGCGAAAAGGCCTTACTTGTTCATTATTTAAACTGTTAGGTTTATTCATATCATGATCTGATAACCATACTCAATATATCCCATATGCATGGGGGTATTGGGGTAATGATACAAAAGGTTTGCTAGGCTAGACCCTCTTTCACTCAGACTCAGCCCCCCCCGAAACTCAGCCCCCCGAACCCCCCCTGAAAAAAATTCAGCCCCCCCCCCCCAAAATGAAATCCTGGCTACTTGTTCTGCCCCCACACTATCTTAACTACTTGGAAGGTGAACTGGCTGCACAGGGAACAGATCAGAGACTATATAGTGAATCAAACAAGAATTTATTTACAGACAAGAATTTTAGACTTTCTCTCCTCTTAAGTCTCACTACAAAGTCTTTATGAGGAGAGGTAAGTCTTTGAGCGATAGACACAGTTCTGGCCGAACTGAGGCTCTTGAATCTTCTTATTGTCTCTTTCTTGCATGGTGTTCAACTGTGTCTAAGATGGTCTCAAAGTTTAACTCCGACTGGGCTTGAATACAGCTCCAACTAGACGTGCTATTTTGTAGACCTTCCAGCCTTCCTCTTTCCTTACCTTCCAGTCACAAAAAAGCAGACTCTTCCAAGAACCAGAAGTGCCTTTCCTGGGGGTCTGCCCTGAGGGGATTCTTAAAGGGGCAGGGCGATGGAGGCTTCAAGTGCAAAGAGGCTGTCTAGACTGACTTCCCAGAAACTGTACAGATTAAATATTAATCCCTCTAACTAAAAAGGGCTTAACTAGGTGTAAACTATGAGGGTCTTAATGGGGCACGTCAGGAGCTATTCAAAGAACTGAAACCTACCACTAAAATGGCTTCAGTATCTTGAATACACCTTCATTTGGACAAAAAAAACCCCATAATCTATTCATTGCCCCATCAGTATAGTTTCCTAGATTACAAACTCATGTGTTCTGCCATTTTAGAGGTTAACGTTCCCTAATAACTCTGGGTGATGTAGTTCATAGATGATAAATGTGGAAGATCCTTAGTTACTCTCTAACTATGGTTCCCATAGATCATACGGAAAGAGAAAGGCAGAATATAAATTAAACAAATAAATGGAGAGATTGTTTACAGGAAACAACATCTGCTAAGGCAGTTTAAATGCAGATGAACTCTCAGGACCTACGATTCGTACATGGCTGGGGAAGAAGGAAAGAAACAGTGGCTGGAAAAAAAATCTAACAAGACTGTTGCAACAAATGTTAATAGAAAGCCCCATATAAAAGATATTAGAACCTCTTTAGAGCAGGATTAGGGACAGTGTGGTCCTTGTTGTACTGAATCCACCTACATTTCTGGTCATTGGCCATACTGCTTGCTGATAATTGAAAGCAGCAGTATCGGGAGAGCTTCATATTCTCATTGGTCTTCATCTTAGGAGTGCACTACAGACTGAGCATCCCTTATTTGGAATTCCAAAATCCCGAACATTCAAAAATCCAAAATTGTCCCTATGACGACTGAGATAGTGGCCCTTTTGCATTCTGATGGTTCAGTGTACACAATTTTTTTGTTTCATGCACAAAATTACTGAAAGCATTGTGTATAAAATTACCTTCAGTTTATATAAGGTGCATATGAAACATAAATAAATTTTGTGTTTAGACTTGCGTCCCATATCTCATGATGTACATATATGCAAATACAAGTATTCCAAAATCTGGGGGAAAATCCCAAATGGGTCCCAAGCTTTTTAGATGAACGATACTCAACTTCTACTAAATCAGTGGTCCCCAACCTTTTTGTGACCAGGGACCACTTGAGCAGAGACCACTTTGACCAGGGACCACTCACCAACATTAGTACCAAAAGGGTTACGAATCAGTTTTGGTCAACTTTAGGTTCCGTTTGGTTATTTGGGGTGCTGATTGAGAAAATTGCATTGGATAGACCACATTAGCTCTAGTTTCTGATACAGAACAGAGGCCATCCAGTCCTAAAAACGAATATACCAAGAAAATTTTTTTTGATTGGGCTGGCCGCAGACCATATTTTGGTTCTTGTGGACCACTGATGGTCCACGGACCACAGACTGGAAACCACTGTACTAAATGGATGTGGAGAAATCACAACACTACACTCATTCTCACCTGCCCACTATCAGCAGCTCCTTGTCATGTGCTTGTGGCCTCAGGCGGTTGTAGATGTCCATGGTGAAGAGAGTGCCACTGCTGTTGAAGATGGAAGCCAGGGAACTCATCAATGCAGCCAGCATCACGGCCAGCATGAGGCCCCGGAGTCCTTGTGATGCAATAACAGGGAGGAAGGAGAATGCATATCCTTAATTCCTAAAGCTCAGCACTCTTCATAGCCCATAGAAAGACTTAAGATTGAAAGGATGGCTTCAGAGGGCCTGTCAGGTCCACTTCACCCAGTGTTCAAAAGGAATGATGTGGGGTCAAACACAAATGAACCTTCTGCCCTTACCATTCGGCATGAGGGCTACCACCAGTTTGGGGTAGGCGATATTGGAACATCCAACCTCTGTGCCACATATCCGCATGCATTCCTCTGGGATGACACAGGCCACATCATCTGAAAAAAGTAAAGAGAGATGAGAGGAGGCTGAATATTTGGACTGATGGGTTGCTGTTACCATTAATCTCTAAACACATCTTGAACAACGTTCCCCAGTATTTACCTGGATATAAAATCCGGCTGATCATGCCAGGCATAATCATGAGAAACATGGGTAGCAGCTTTAAGTAGCCACAAAGGATGCATCCAGCTTTGACATGGGTCAGGTTCTTGCCAGCCAGGCACCTCTGCACTATGACCTGTGTTGAGTGGGAATAAAACAGCTTGTCATATGTATTCTCTGTCTCTAGAGCTTTACTAACATTTCACAGCATCCGGAGTGAAAAAATTCCCTGGCATTAGCAGATGGGAAGCAATTCTGCCAGAGACCCACCTCTGCCATTCATACCTGATCGCTGCACCAGTACCAGATAGAGTTGATGGTAAGGCCAAGGATCACAGCTGGCCAAGGCATGTCGCTAGTCACAGCATCTCTGATCATGTGGAAAGAGTCCTCGCGGGGCTGGTAGCAGGAGGCTGAGATGTTGTATAGGTCAGGAGCTGGAGACAACGTCTGCCTGGGAATGGCCTCCATGTATTTGTCAAACACTCCTTGATAGCCTCCCACCTCATGAAAGGCTGCAGAGGAAGAAGGAGGGGCAGCTTTAGAAGCAAAAGTAGAATTTCTGCTCATATGTTTAGCCTAAGTTTCTGCCAATGTTTTTTCCTCTAGGAATTTCTAGGCCCTCATGAATGACTCTGGAAGCTTGGAATCGTATATTTTTAATCAAATCAATGAATATTCTGCAAAAGTCAAACCCACAAGTGTGGAGAGCTGATTGTTAGAAATATTAAAAACGAGCCGTCCCCTGCCACGCATTGCTGTGGCCCAGTTTGTATATATGTGTTTTGTGTGTGTATATATTTGTGTATATGTGTATATATGGTTTTACACATCCGTTGTAATGTATTTTTTTGTCTTTTGGCTTTTTAAGTGTCTTCTGCTGTGTTTTTCAGTGTTTTTATGAGTGATGGTTACTTGTTAGCCTGAGAGGTGTATTGTTTCCAAATTTGGTGTCAATTCGTCCAGTGGTTTTTGAGTTATGTTAATTCCACAAACGAACATTACATTTTTATTTATATAGATTAATCAACTAAGTATTTTTGGTTACAAAAATGTGAGTCAAGCATTGAAAGAGTTAAATGGATGCAGTAACTCAGAGAAGCTGTGGTTCAATATAAGCAGGTGTGCCTGTTGCTTAGTAGCAGTAAGTCTGAGGTAAACCTCAGTGGGAGAATAGGTTCAGTGGTTTTCCTGCCCCCCTCCAAAATTAGTCTGCTGTTATTGTTGTTGCTAGCTATTTTTGTTATGTTGTTTTATGCTGTTTTAATTGTTATTGCTTTATTTTAATTGTATTCTGCCTGGGCTTGGGCCCCATGTAAGCCACCCCGAGTCCGTTCGGGGAGATGGAGGCAGGGTAGAAAAATAAAGTTGTTGTTGTTGTTGTTCTTCTTCTTCTCCTCCTCCTCCTCCTCCTCCTCCTCTTCCTCCTTCTCCTTCTCCCTGTTCTTCTTCCTCTTCTTCTTCCTCCTCTTCTCCTCCTCCTTCTTTTCCTCCTCCTTCTTCTTCAGTGTTATTAGGTCTCACTGTGAGAGAAAGCCCTCAGAGTGTGAGGTAGGCCTCGTTATGAGAAGACCTTGTGTGTGAATCTCCAGTGTGAAGGTCAAACTTTATTTGTGTTATGGAAACCTTGTTTTTGTAAATAGCGCAACCATATTATTTTGCTATAAAGGAAAGCCTCCTAAGGAAGAGATAACATTGGTCTCTGTGTTTTTGTTCTTTGTATTACTTTGGGCGACTGGTGCTGGGTCACGTTGCTGCTGATATGTTACTCTGTTGTGCATTTATGAGGAGGGTCTTTTGTCAATAAGCCCACTCACCCAACACTGACTGCATTGTGTGGCTTCTACTGGAGATGCTGTACTCACCAAATCCCATGAGGACAAAAGCTCCACTGACCATGACAAATGTCTGGACTGTGTCTGTATACATAAGCGCTGCCAAACCACCTGGAAGAGAGACAAGAGGCATGTGTTCATAACTACTAGGAAAGATGGCTAGGTGGAAGAATCGAAGGAGACAGAAGAATCCAAAACAACCCAGTTGAGACTGATCATGTGCAGTACCTACAGAATGCTGACTGTTGGGGATCTAGAAATTTTGAGGGTACAATAGAAGGAATGCAGTATTCTGGGAAAGGATTGATGGACAGGAACATAACCAAACTACTTTTTTGCAGATGTGTGTAAAAAACAGCAGATGTGTGAGTCTTGCTGATCGAAAGGTCACAGGATCCAATCTGGGGAGCAGGGTGAGCTTCTGCTGTTAGCCCCAGTTTCTGCCAACCTAGCAGTTCGAAAACATGCAAATGTAAGTAGATCAATAGGTACTGCTCCAGCGGGAAGATAATGGCACTCCATGCAGTCATGGCGGCTGTGAAGATCCCTTACCTTGCCAGCCGGGGTGGCAGGGCCTAGGAGAGACAGGCTAGGTAGTTTCAGCTTAGAAGGCCTGGCAGAGGGCAGCAGGAGCCATCTTAGTTTAGGGAAAGCTCCAGTTCAGAGAGGGGGAGTGGCCTAGGCCTGAGCCAGCCCTGAAACAGCCAGGATTGGTTTGTTAAAGGGGGGCGGAGTTAGACTGTTGGAGGGAAAGAAAGAAGCTTATTTTAGTCAGTTCAGTTCAGTTCTGGTTGATGTTAGAGATAGAGCAGGATTATAGCTATTAGGAGTTCGTGATTAGAATAGGCAGTTTGCCTGAAGTTTGCACAGTGAAGTAGGCTGTGGCAAACTGGTTACAGCTATTTGAGAAGAAATAGCTGGGTTTTGTATAGGAACTGTAACAAAGATAGAACCATTCTCTCATGCAACCGTTACGCTTTTAAGAACAAGAACACTTTAATTGTAACAGCCAAGCTTATGAAACTGCATTCACTTCATTCTGTAACTTCTATTCAATAAACCTTTCTTGTTATTTTTGAAACTTAAGCCTGTGTCAAGTGCCATTTGTGGATTTAGTCCCTTTTCTTTTTAAATCAACCTCACCTGTGTTCCCTCAAAGAAGCCCTTTTAAAAGACAGTACTTGGTGGTGTTTAAACAACCTTTTTAAGCTAGAGGGTTCCTGTTCATTTATACTTATGGTGGCAGCGAAGGTTTAAATAAAGAGACATCCCCTCAAGTGGTATCTAGGTGCCAAAGTGGTGTGAATTCCTTATTAAAGGAGGGACAGTGGTGGGATTGTTTGCCCCCTGTCCAGTTATATTGTTTGGCCATAAAGCCTGCCTTTATAATTGGTGTCAGATGGTGAGATTGATCGTATTGCCATCTGCCTAGTTATTATAATTGGTGGGGCAGCGGTGGGATTGTTTGACTCCCTTGCCCAGTTTGGCCATTAAGGAGTTATTATAGCGGCCACATGACCCTGGAGGAAATTGCTGGCTCTTCGACTTAGAATTGGAGATGAGCACCAACCCCCAGAGTTGGACACAACTGGACTTAATGTCAGGGGAAAATCTTTACCTTTATCTTTAATGAAGACATGGATGTTTGAACAAGCATTCGGTTAATCCGTTGCAACGAATTTTGATGACTAAAGGATTGGTAATCATGGACGATGAATTTGGATTGCGATTCCAGTTACGAGATGCATTGGATTGTTATTGGTGGCCCAATAATTTGTATTGTATATGTGTTTTATGCTTTTAAACTGAATATTGTTTTTTTAAGTGTTGTAAACCGCAATGAGTCGCTGATTTAGGCTGAGATATTAGCGGTATACAAGCGCATTAATAATAATAATAATAATAATAATAATAATAATAATGTGTGTGTGTGTGGGGGGGGGGGTGTGGCATTCAATGCCATCATATAGTTTCATCATCCGTGGTTACTTATAAAATGCCAGAAGCATGTTCAGCAGTGTTCAGAAATTCTTCTCTTTCTTTTTTATATAGTTCTCTTGCTACTTGTGCTTGCCAGCTCATGAATCACAAACTGACAACCAGTGTAGGTTTGCAGCTCTCCAGACGTTTGATCTCCAGCAGATAACAGGTGTTGATGTGTTTCTCTCTATTTCCTTCTTGCCATGAATCACCACACTTGCTGATGGATACTTAATCTAACCTACTAAAAAGACGAGCAAGTCAGACCATTTTTTCCCAACACCCTTCTTCTAGCCATTAGGCAACTCTACTCCCCGTTGTATTTGATCCCCCTTCATCACTTCTGCAAGACTGACTTCTTGCTGGGTACTCAATCAATCTTCCCATTTCAGACTCCCGGTTACCTGTCACTGTATAAATCGTGGTTATGATCAGGAGGGCAATGACAGCCACATAAATATTCCAGCCCAAAGCTTGTTGGATGAACACAGCACCAGAGAACATGTCCACCTGTGGGGAGATGGAGGGAAGGACGCATTAGTTATGATTTCCAAATAGGTATTGATGCTCTACTACTGAAAAAGACCAAAGGAGGAGTCCTCCTTCCAAAGGTGGGATTGCCAAGAGTATAACTTTGAGGAGGAAGGAGGGAATAAAGTATTGACTTCCAATAAGATTCTGCCCCTTCCTGAATATTTCCTTCAGTACTCAAATTTCTAGCTTTAACAACAACAACGACAACAATAACAACAACCCCACCACCATCTCCCCAGAGGGACTCGGGATGGTTTACAGACAGCACACAATAGTGCCACAAAACACATAAAATGCAAGCAAAATCCATCAACAATGCAATGAGACGGGGATAATACAAAATATAGAGAATTCTTATATTTCCTGTTCTTGTCATTCCTTAGGTCACTTTGCCTGGCCCTTTCTGCCTAAACTGTATAGAACAACCTCTGTATCCATGAGGGATAGGGTCCTAGACTTTATAATAGATATGCAAAGCTGTTTATAATAGCCAACTCTATTAAAAGTAAGGGTTATTATTTATTATTTACTGTATTTATACCCTGCCCTTGTCACCCCAAAGGGGACTCAGAGCGGCTGTACAATGGGCAATAATTCAATGCTGTGTAAAACAAACAAATAGTCAAATAAACACACAGATTAAAACATAGAATTAAAAACATATAAATATTAAAAACCATTATTAAAACCACAGAAAGCAAAATCATATTCCAGAAGCCGTTCCTGTCATTATTGCACATATTCCAACTTATTGCCCTGAATTACCAAAGACTTGGTCCCACAGCCATGTTTTTAATTTCTTTCTAAAGGTCAGGAGGAAGGGAGCTGACCTGATTTTGCTAGAGAGGGAGTTCCACAGCTGAGGGGCCACCATTGAGAAGGCCCTGTCTCTCGTCCCCATCAACTGCACCTGTGAAGAAGGTGGGACCGAGAGCAGGGCCTCCCCAGATGATCTTAACCTCTGAGATAGTTCATAGAGGGAGATATGTTTGGACAGGTAAGCTGGATCAGAACTGTTTAGGGCAGTGGTTCTCAACCTTTCTAATGACACAACCCCTTAATACAGTTCCTCCTGTTGTGGTGACCCCCAACCATAAAATTATTTTTGTTGCTACTTCATAACTGCAATTTTGCTAGTGTTATGAATTGTAATGTAAATATATTCCATACCAGAATTTGCCCCTTCTCAAATACCCCCTCCCCAAATCCTTGATGCCTGGAGAAACTACTTACCGAAATTTTGGTGAAGATATACATGAAAAGAGAGAGGACGGAGAGGTAGAGACGAATGCGCTGACCTCCAAAGCGCTTCTTCAGGTATTGTGGCATTGTGATGACCTGCATGGATCAGAGAAGTAACAGGGAAAGATATTACCAGCATTTTTAAAGATATTACCAGCATTTTTAATAAGGCATCCCCAGAGTTTCAAAATATGGTAATGCATTAAAAACAATGTAGACACCTGTAACAAATTATTTTCTTTCTTGTAATTATGAAGTAATAATGATACATTTAAAAGAGAAGTTGAAGAAGCTAGTATACGAAGTAAAGTTTTCTAGTTACTTATTAATTTTAACCTCATGTTGCGTCAGCTCCACTGGCTGCTAGTCTGCTACCGAGCAGAATTGAAAGTGCTGGCTTTAGCCTATAAACCCTAAATGGTTCTAGTCCAGCTTACCTGTCCGAACGCAACTTCCTTTATGAGCCAGCTAGAACAGTAGAATCCGTCAGGGAATTCCTGCTCTCGGTCCTGCTGCTTTCGCAGGTGCTATTGGCAGGGATGAGAGACAGGGCCTTCTCGGTGGTGGCCCCTCTGCTGTGGAACTCCCCACTGAAATTAAATTGCCCCCTCTCCCTCCTAGAATTTATCTGGTTATTCAATAAGGCATTCGGTGAATGACAGGAATATAGAAACATGGAAGTAATTAAAGATAACCATGTTTTTTCCTTGTCAGTTTTGCTCTCAATTTTTCCCAGGAACTGTCCAATAATAATGTTAATAGTAGTAGTAGTAGTAGTAGTAGTAGTAGTAGTAGTAGTGTTTGGACCTTTTATATTGTGTTTGGCTTTCTTGAGGCTTCTAGGTCTTGACAGTAGTAGTAGTAGTAGTAGTAGTAGTAATAATAATAATAATAATAATAATAATAATAATAATAATACAAGCAGTTGAAGAAGAAAAACACGCCCTGGCAGAATATATAAAGGAAAGCCAAGAACCTGCTTTAATTGAAGTCAATAATCGGAAACTTCTCAAAGCACAGCAGACAAAGAATCAGTACAAGAAAACTGCACTCCAAACCAGAGCTGACAGCTGGCACAACAAAGCATTGCATGGGCAGTTCCTTGACAAAATTGAAGGAAAAGTTGATAAGGAGAAGACCTGGTTATGGCTCACTGAAGAAGACTGAAGTAGGAGACAAAAGGCCTGATTCTTTCAGCCCAGGAACAAGCCATCAGAACCAATGTAATTAAGGCCAGGATCGAAAAATCAGCTGATGCAGACTGTGCAAGGAAGCTGATGAAACCCTGGACCATATCCTCAGCTGCTGCAAGAAAATCACACAGACAGACTACAAACAGAGGCACAACTCTGTGGCCCAAATGATTCATTGGAACTTATGTCACAAGTACCACCTGCCAGTAGTAAAGAACTGGTGGGATCATAAACCTGCAAAGATAAGTGGAAAATGAACACGCAAAAATACTGTGGGACTTTCGAATCCAGATTGACAAAGTTTTGGAACACAATACACCAGACATCACAATTGTGGAAAAGAAAAAAGTTTGGATTATTGATGTCGCCAGACCAGGTGACAGTAATTGATGAAAAAAAACAGGAAAAACTCAGCCATTATCAGGAACTCAAAATTGAACTGCAAAGGCTCTGGCATAAACCACTATATGTGGTCCCAGTGGTGACTGGCACAATGGGTGCAGTGCCAAAAGATCTCAGCCAGCATTTGGAAAGAATCAACATTGACAAAATCATGATCTGTCAACTGCAAAAGGCCACCTTACTTGGATCTGCACACATCATTCGAAAATAAGTGCACTGTGTTTGCCAAGGCTGAATTTGAAAAACAATCATCACAGTTAGTAAATGTGTCAAGATAGAAAATCTCTTTCCTTACCCCAGCTGTGAGGTAGACTGGGACGAAGAGCCATCCAAGGAGGAGAACAATGAAGAGAGCCTAGGAGGAAAGGGGTGTGAGATCAGTAGGGATTGGGAAGGGTCAAGTTAGCAACAAAAGGCCCTAGTTTCATATTCCCAGGTTTGCTTTCACATTCTTTCTTGAAATTTCCTTGGTTTCCCTCCCTTGCCCCTTGTGTTCTTCTTCTTCCCACTTTAGAGCTCTGAATACTTCATAATTTTTTCCTAATTTTCACTGATCTTTATTATTATTCATGGAGCCCCCGGTGGCGCAGTGGGTTAAAGCACTGAGCTTGAGCTTGTTGATCGAAAGGTCGCAGGTTTGATTCCGGGGAGCGGCGTGAGCTTCCGCTGTCAGCCCTAGCTTCTGCCAACCTAGCAGTTCGAAAACATGCAAATGTGAGTAGATCAATAGGTACCGCTCCGGCGGGAAGGTAACGGCGCTCCATGCAGTCATGCCGGCCACATGACCCTGGAGGTGTCTACGGACAACGCTGGCTCTTCGGCTTAGAAATGGAGATGAGCACCACACCCCAGAGTCAGACATGACTGGACTTAATGTCAGGGGACAACCAACCAACCTTATTATTATTCAGGAGTTATAATCAAAGCACTAAAATGCATTAGAAATAGTACACTAATCAGACATTAGGATCATGTTCTTGTGTGGAACTTTAAAATAAAATCAGTTTGTATAGCAGGCATGGGCAAACTTGGGCCCTCCAGATGTTTTTGGATTTCAACTCCCACTATTCCTAACAGCCTCAGGCCCCTTTCTTTCCCCCCTCAGTCAAAGCAGCCTGAGGCTGTTAGGAATTGTGGGAGCTGAAGTCCAAAAGACCTGGAGAGCCCAAGTTTGCCCATGCCTGGGTTAGACAGTGGCGTATTTTTATATTCTCATAGGCACTAATCCAAACTGGTATTATCATTTCATGGTTCCACTTTCTGCTCATGAAATGAATCAAGTCTTTAGTTCCTGCAAATTAGCCAGCCTGTTCCCACCAAAGAGATATGGAGTAACGCTTACATTCCACTCAAATCCTGCCACGGCCAGGCCGTTAGCCGCAGCGGTGCCTGCCAAACCCACAAAGTGCCCGCTGCCAATGTTGCTGGCAAAGAGAGAAGCCCCGATCTATGGAGATAAAAACAAACAAAGGAAAAATAAGGCAGGACCTATCAAATGAAACACTGTTCTCACCAAAGAATTGGCACCTGACACCTCTGGCTTCAAACTACAGGAAAGGAGATTCCACCTGAACATTAAGAAGGGCTTCCTGACTGTGGGAGCTGTTCAGCAGTGGAACTCCCTGCTCTGGAGTGTGGTGGAGGCTCCTCCTTTGGAGGTTTTTAAACAGAGACTGGATGGCCATCTGTTGGGGTGCTTTTAATATGATTTTCCTGCTTCTTGGCAGGGGTTATACTGGGTGGCCCATGAGGTCTCTTTCAACTTTATGATTTTATGTTCCTTATTCCTACTTTGTGTTTATCTTCCGATCCTCCTTCCCAGTGACTTGCTTGTGTCATTCCATTGCCTCCAACATCTCACAGATGATGGCTAAGCAACTTCAGAATGAGGTAAAAAATGGCAAAATGTATTAAAGAGGAGAAACATCTGAGCTATGCTGCATCAATTGACTTTTGCCCAATCCAGAATGACACTCTCCTTCTGCTGAGTAAATTTAGCGCAAATGACTTCTGGACTTTGAACTGAGTTTGAGACAACTAAAGCAAGCTGAGGAAAAGGCAGGTAAATAGTAAGAGGAAAAAGAAACTGGGATGTGTCAAAAGCGGGACAATAGAGGGCTGAATGGGACAGTTCCTTCCAAACTGGGACACTTGGAGATTGTGTTGTTTCTGCAATCTATAAGGTTCAGGACTTCCATCCATTGCCTCTATTTCCTCAAAGAAGGATCTATTTTCTTCTTGTTTTGTTCCCATGGTTTTAATGTTACTTACCGGCCACCATATCATATTCCTACCAGCCAAAAAATATCCCCCGACGGTACCTCGGTTGGTCCGGCACATGGACTGTGAGACACAATGATAAAAAAAAATGTCATTAAGAATGGGTGGATTGGTCGTGTTTATTTGTTTGATTTTAATGGCAGAAATCCTTTATCACAGTCTATGTTATTTAATTTTACAAATACTTAGCTACATAGCAATGGCACTAAGGAAACCTGTTAATGAATGGCCAAGATATTTAACAGCCTGGACTAAGATTGTTGGATTGTGTGATTTTAATGTTTATATCTGTATGTTTTTTATTTCATGTTTTAATGTTACATGATGTCGTGTTTATTATGATTTAATTGATAATTGTATGTTATTACCGTTATGTTTCTGTATGTGAGACATTAAAGTTTTCCATAATTATGTTGGAAACTGCTTTGAGTCCCCTGCCAAGGGGAGAAAAGTGGTATACAAGTGAAGTAAGTGAGTAAATAAATACATGCCTCAAGGAGTGTCAGGTTCTACCAGGGCCCCGTCTATATTGCCATATAATGCTTCAAATGTTTCAAACAGCATTATATGGCTAATGTAGACTTATATGCATCTACACTGCCCATATAATGCATATAGACTCATATATTACCTGAAGTCCCAAACACCTGGAGGGCCGAAGTTTGACCATGCCTTCTCTACACTGTCCATATAATGTGGTTTCAAACTGCCTTATATGGCAGTGGAGATGGAGCCCTCATTGGTGTCCTCATTATGCATAAGTTCCAATGTGCATCAGTCACTTTGCCAGCTCCTCTACACATTAATGCTTCATTGGCTGCCGATAAGTTGCAGAGTCAAATTCAAGGTGCAGGTCATGACCTATAAAGCCCTAAACGGTTCGGGCCCAGCCTATCTCCGCGATCGCCTCTTCTTCTATGAACCAGCACGAGCTGTAAGATCTTCCGGGGAGGCCCTCCTCTCTGTCCCACTACCGTCTCAAGCGCAGTTGGTGGGGGCGAGAGAGAGGGCCTTCTCAGTGGTGGCCCCCTGTCTCTGGAATGCCATTCCAAGGGAAATAAGACAGGCCCCATCCCTCCCCTCCTTTCATAAGAGCTTGAAGACCTGGTGATTTCAACAAGCCTTTGAAAATGACCAGTTCTAACTCAGCCCTACACATTGTCGAATACGGCCTTATTCTTCCTACTAATTACCCAGATTCTTCCTCTAATTGGCCCCAGAATGAACAGCCACAGACTCGTACCTAATATTGTTGCCTGCCATAGCATTGCACTTAATTCTTGAGCCCCGTAGAATTTTTGGGGCTTGCACAAATCTTGGCCCAGCCTTTTAAATTTTTTAATTGCCTTGAATAGGCAGGATTACTTTTAATATATGTGTCTTTATGGCGACAATTTTTATGCTTATATTTTGTTTTGTTAATTTTATGGTTATGTTGTTTTTTTACTTTGTATGTTTTGTGATGTTACCTGGGAACTGCTCTGAGTCCCCTCGGGGAGATGGAGTGGTATATAAATAAAGTATTATTATTATTATTATTATTATTATTGTAACAGCTTCTTACTGTATATGGGTATTTTAGGACTGCCCAATTTTAATTCCAGCAAAGCTACCATTTGTCCACTGATGAAGATGTAGACCCCAACAGAATTCTTTTCAACATTAATATTTACCCTTCATAATGGGATCTCATGGTGGCACAAAAGTAGAACAATAGAAACAATAGAAAACAATTCCACTACAAAATGATTTTAAGGCGGAGCATGTCCCTTGTACTATCTACAGTATCTGTACCTGTTGTCTCATTTAATTATAGGCAATTCTAAGGTATGCTTCCATGTGACTCTGGGATGTATTTGCCGGAAGTCATTTGTTCAATTGGTACCTCTATGAATCATCCTCCCAAAGCCCTGAACTGTATTCTCCAGATATGAGGGTCATATTTGTTGCTTAGAACTGCTATTATCTTCTTGCAAATTGAAAAAGCAGCCCGCGCATTGCCTTTCACTAATCACTTTGTACCCAATGTGATATGCACGACTATCCGAAGGATTAATATGCCCTTCAATATGGATATTCATCCAGCATGTGCTAGTCATGTCAGTTTGTATGGGACTATGAACAAAGTAAGTACTCCAAACAACTGTAGAAGTATGTAGACTTTATAAAAGACATGGCCATGTTGTGGAATCAGGGAATAACATTACGAGTAGCTTCTTCAGATGGACTACAGTCCATATGCAGCTATCTCTTTAAATGCTCCCACCTTCAGGGAACAAATTGTACAATCGCTAATCTGTAAAATTTTACACCTCATTAACAGCTGCTAGTACATTCCTGAACTATGTCACAGTTGATAATAATTAACTCTTCTGATCAAGCTGGGAATCAAAGAGAAGAGACAATAAAGCATATGTGAAACCATCGGGAGACAAAATCAAGCAAACCGAGTCCTGTGATGTTGGGCCCCTGAAAGTTGAGCAAAGGATACACAGGAAAGTGTTTGAGTTCTAGGTTCCTCAATGGCTCTGGTGGTGTCTATATCTCATTTTATAAATGATTACAACTTAATAGTATCCAATCAACTTAGCTTTTGGGTATAAACTAACATCTTTAAATGATTATGTGCAATCACATACATCTTAGGGAAATTTTAGTATAGCAAAGACCCTCCCCCCAAACGTTCTAGGTGCTCCATCAAACCGTACTTGATTTCTTGATTCTGACACCTTATTGGGTTGCCTCTCCACAATTATTCTCTGAAGCCCCTTCCACACAGCTGAAAAAAATCTCACATTATCTGCTTTGAACTGGAATATATGGCAGTGTGGACTCAAATAGCCCAGTTTAAAGCAGATATTGTGGGATTTTCTGTCTTGACATTCTGGGTTATATGGCTGTGTGGAAGGGCCCTGAGGCCCCTTCTACACTGCCATATAAAATTCAGATTAAGTGCTTTGAACTGGATTAGATAGCAATGTAGACTCATATAATCCAGACCCCTTCTAAACTTCTGTATGATCCAGATTTTCAAACTAGGTAATCCACATTATCTGCTTTGATCTGGATTATATAAGTCTACATTGCCATATAATCCACTTCAAAGCAAATAACATAGATTTTATTTGGCAGTGTAGAAGAGCCCCCAGTTCTAAGCAGATAATGTGGATTGTCTGCCTTCATAATCTGGATTATATAGCAGTGTAGAAGGGGCTTGAGTAGTTTGCCAATCAAGACAAATTAAAAGCAGATAATAAAACATATAAATACAGTAATTAAAGTTAAAAACTAATAAAAATACTCTAAATGAATATAAAGAAATAAAGAAATAAACATGAAGGCAACATTCAGAACCATGCTTTTGAATGGAAACAGCATAAAACCTACAGTAAAACCCCCTAATGCTGAAAAGTACAGAAAAAGCTGCTTTGGAGAATATTTATGTTTGTTATGTTCCCCCCTTTCACTTCCATAGGAACCTCAAAATCCACATCAAATTTCAGATGGAGCAAAAATTCCCACAATGTCATCATCAAAATAGTTTATTGTACGGGCCCATGGCCATGACAAAAAGCACCACAATAGTACCCTCGGAGCAACAATATTTGAAATCATGTCTGATAAATTACACTAGAATTACATCTTCAGTCCATAGTTTTCATATCTCTTCTTGAGTCTTTCTTCTGAAAATGACCCTACTAAGGGAAACATGATGTAAAGATATATGACAGCCTTCTGTGACAAATTTCAAACAGATGTGTCTCCCAATTCTCATGTTTGTAACTGTATAGGTAAAGGTTTCCCCCGACATTAAGTCTAGTTATTTCTGACTCTGGGAGGTGGTGCACATCTCCATCTCTAAGTCAAAGAGCCAGTGTTGTCCACAGACGCCTCCAAGGTCCTGTGGCCAGCATGACTACATGGAGCAATTCAATTCGGGGGGGGGGGGAGGAGTTTTGATTTATGGAGAGTTCGGGGGGGGGGGGGGTTTGGGGGGGGGGTGGGGGGTGAATTTTTTTCAGGGGGGGGGGGGGTTTTGGGGTTTGGGGGGGAGAGTGGGGGCGGAGGGGGGCTGAGTCTGAGTGAAAGAGGGTCTAGCCTAGCAAACCTTTTGTATCATTACCCCAATACCCCCATGCATATGGGATATATTGAGTATGGTGATCAGATCATGATATGAATAAACATAACAGTTTAAATAATGCACCAGTAAGGCCTTTTCGCGAACCACCATGAGAATTTCAGGGGGGGGGCTGAAGCCCCTCAAGCCCCCCCCCCCCCCCCCCCCCCCCCCCCCCCCCCCCCCCCCCCCCCCCGTCAAGGTCATGTGGCCGGCATAACTCCATGGAATGCCATTATCTTCCTGCCAAGGTGGCATCTATTGATCTACTCACATGTTTTCAAACTGCTAGATTGGCAGAAGCTGGGGCTAACAGTGGGAGCTCATGCTGCTCCCCAGATTCGAACCTGCAACCTTTCGGTCAGCAAGTTCAGTGGCTCTTCTGCTTAGAAATGGAAATGAGTGAGGAGGAGCTGAGGAGCCTGATAACGAAGATGAAAGAAAAAAGTGCAAAAGCTGGGTTGCAGTTAAACATAAAAGAAACCAAGATTATGGCAACCAGACTGATTGATTACTGGCAAATAGAGGGAGAAAATGTGTAGGCCGTGACAGACTTTGTATTTATAGGCGCAAATATAAATGCAGACACAGAATGCAGCCAGAAAATCAGAAGACGTTTACTTCTTGGGAGGAAAGCAATGACCAATCTCGATAAAATAGTGACGAGTAGAGACATGACACTAACAACGAAGATCCGCATAGTTAAAGCAATGGTATTCCTTGTAGTAACCTATGGATGCGAGAGCTGGACCATAAGGAAGACTGAGTGAAGGAAGATAGATACTTTTGAACGGTGGTGTGGGAGGAAAATTCTGAGAGTGCCTTGGACCGCAAGAAGATCCAACCAGTCCATCCTCCGGGAAATAAAGCCCGGCTGCTCACTACAGGCAAAGATGAAGTACTTTGGCCACAAAATGAGAAGACAGGAAAGTTTGGAGAAGATAATGATACTGGGGGAAATGGGAGGAAAAAGGAAGAGGGGCCAACCAAGGGCAAGATGGATGGATGGTATCCTTGAAGTGACTGGCTTGACCTTGAAGGAGCTGGGGGTGGTCATGGCTGACAGGGAGCTCTGGCATGGGCTAGTCCATGAGGTTACAAAGAGTTGGAAGTGACTGAACGAATAAACAACAACAACAACAACAACAACAACCCCCAGAGTTGGACATGACTAGACTTAATCCGAAGGATGAATATGCCCTTCAATATGACTTAATGTCAGGGGGAAAACTTTACCTTTACCTATTGACAATTAATCAGGAAATAACATTTCAAACCAGGAACAGATCCCCCCCCCCCCAAAAAAAAAGGTCTTCAAAGTCTTAGGGTGTATCTGTACTATATGCTATTGAATCTCAGGGGTTGTGGTTTGGCGAGGCACCAACCTTCTTTGGCAGAGAAGGCTAAAGTCTTAGTAAAAGTACAACTCCCGTGACTCCATGGCATTGAACTATAACAGTTAAAGTGGTATCAAAATGCATTCATTCTCCAGTGTAGAGCAGGCCCTCCAGGTGTTTTGGACTTCAACTCCCACAATTCCTAACAGTCTGTAGGCTGTTAGGAATTGTGGGAGTTGAAGTCCAAAACACCTGGAGGGCCCAAGTTTACCCATGCCTGATGTAGAGGCACCACTTAATCCAACGCTCAAACCACTACACTATGCTATCTCCCGACTCAGAAAAAAGTAATGTGAATCTATATTACGGGTGGGAAGATTAGGGATGTTTTGGAAAGTATTTGTGTATGGCTTACATACCCATAGCCCAACTCCGATGACTGCCAGGAAATAACAGCAGATGACCGAAATGTCTGCAGGGTTGCTGATGGTCGCTTGTGTTGGTGCATGGGTTGGTGAATCCTGCTCCATGGTGCCTCCAAGTTCGAATCTTCTCTACAGTCAAGGAATTCTGTGGTCCTGCTCCTCAAGAGAGGAGGCACGTAGGCACCGGTGGGTTAATGACAAACTCAGTCGGGACCAGTTGGATGTACGATTAACTTGCGGTGTATGTAACAAGAAGGGTGAGGTGGGGAAAGGAGGGCACAGAGTGGTGTCAGAGGGAGCAATTTCTGTTAATCCTAGTTTAAGCGGACACTTCCTTTTTGGTGGACAACATCAATTGCCTTTGAGTAGTTGTGTAATAGACATTAACCAGTAGACCACTTATAATCACTCCATGATCAGAGAAGCATTGGGTTTTAGCCCACACATGCTCACATGTTCGTCTCATGGTGCCAGTATAAGGCCTTGTTGTTAGAATTAACCTTTAGGACAGTGTTTCTCAACCTGGGGGTCGGGACCCCTGTGGGGGTCGTGAGGGGGTGTCAGAGGGGTCACCAAAGACCATCAGAAAACATAGTATTTTCTCTTTGTCATGGGTGTTCTGTGTGGGAAGTTTGGTCCAATTCTATCATTGGTGGGGTTCAGAATGCTATTTCATTGTGGGTGAACTATGAATCCCAACAACTACAACTCCCAAACGGCAAGGTCTATTTTCTCCAAACTCTACCAGTGTTCACATCTGGGCATATTGATTATCTGTGCCAAGTTTGATCCAGATACATCACTGTTTGAGTGCTCTCTGCATGTAGGTGAACTACTACTCCAAAAACTCAAGGTCAGTGTCCACCAGACTCTCCCAGTATTTCTCTTGGCCATGGGAATTCTGTGTGCCAAGTTTGATTCAATTCCATCATTGGTGGAGTTCAAAAGGCTCTTTGATTTTAGGTGAACTATAAATCCCAGCAACTCCAACATTCCCAAATCACAAAATCAATCCCCTCCAACCCCACGAGTACTCAAATTTGGGCGTATTGGGTATTTGTGCCAAATTTGGTCCAGTGAATGAAAATACATCCTGCATATCAGATATTTATATAATGATTCATAACAGTAGCAAAATTAAAGAAGTAGCAATGAAAATAACGTTATGGTTGGGGGTCACCACAATGTGAGGACTTTTACTAAGGGGTTGCAGCATTAGGAAGGCTGAGAACCACTGCTTTAAGGGCAGCAATTAGCCATAGCTTTGATTGTCTAGATCAGGCATGTGCCAATTTGGACCCTTCAGGTGTTTTGGACTTCAACTCCCTCATTTCCTAACAGCCTCAGGCCCTTTCCTTTTCGCACAAGCGACTGAGGGTGAAAAAGAAAGGGACTGAGGCTGTTAGGAATTGTGGGAGTTGAAGTCCAAACACCTGGAGGGCCCAAATTGGCCCATGCCTGATCTAAATAGATAGGCATAGATCAAATAGATGTTAAGGTGAATTCAAGTTTGAGTTATGCTCTGCCACACCCAAGTCCCTCAAAAATATAAGAAGCTTCTAGGTTGTCTATTATAATTAAGCAAATAGTACCTGCAAGTATTTTCACAAGCCTTGCCCATTATGGCCAGTTCTGTTAGTTTGGCTTCCTTTTGAGGATCTACAGGTGAAACAAAGATCCAGATATCAGTGTGACCAAGAAAGGAATTAGATCTTCCTTGTGTTTCTCTGGCTTCCTTTCTGAGCCATGAGCCCAATTTGGCATTTCTTTTGATGCACCAAAAATCTTTCTCAGGGTCTTGTAAACTTCATTCCTTCAAACTCCATTTCCAAATCTTGGAGGCAGAAGGAACAAAGGGATTTTCCACACAGTCCTATATCCCAGAATACCAAGGCAGACAATCCCACATTACCTGCTTTGGATTGGAATTTGGACTAAGATAACCCAGTTCAAAGCAGATATTATGGGATTTTCTGCCTTGATATTCTGGGCTATAGGGCTGTGCGCAAGGACCCTGAGTCTTTAGTTTGCATGGAGATGAGACACAGAGGTGCTCACTCTATACTTTTAGGGTAGTTTCTCAAAGTGTGCTCCTCCAGATGTTTTGGACTTCAGCTTCCACAATTCCTGACAGCTGGGAAGCTGGCTGGGATTTCTGGAAGTTGAAGTCCAAAATATCTGGAGGAGCACCGTTTGAGAAACACTGTTTTAGGGGGTTCAGCTCTGGGTAAATAAAACTGACTGTGTGGAAATCTCCAGCTGATGTAGAAAAGCAACAGCAAAGCTTAGTAGATTTATTGTTGCAGTTTGCAAGGGCTTTGGTTTGTGTGTTTATGGATTTATTTACTGAACTTCCCCCTTGCTCACCTTCTGCACTGCATCTACCTTCTGACTAGCACTATGTTTCTTCCAAAGCAGAATTATAGAATCATAGAGCTGGATGAGATCTTGTGGGCCATCAGTCTAACCCTCTGCCAAGAAGCAGGAAAACCACATTCAAAATATCCCTGGTAGATGGCTATCCAGCCTCTGTTTAAAAACCTCCAAAGAAGGAGCCTCCACCGCACTCCAGAGCAGAGAGTTCCACAGCTGAACAGCTCTCACCATTTGGAAGTTCTTCCTCATATTCAGGTGGAATCTCCTTTCCTGTAGTTTGAAGCCATTGTTCTGCTTCTTAGCCTCCAAGGCAGCAGAAAACAAGCTTGCTCCCCCCTCCCTATGATTTCCCCTTACATATTTATACATGACCCTCATCATGTCTCCTCTCAGCCTTCTCTTCTGCAGGCTAAAGATGACCAGCTCTTTAAGCTGCTCCTCATAGGGTTTGTTCTCCAGACCCTTGATAATTTGCATCACCTTCCTCTGGACACATTTCAGCTTGTCGACATCTCCCTTATATGGCAGTGCCCAGAATTGGACACTGTGTGATTCCATGTGTGGAATAGAGGGGCAGCATGACTTCCCTGAATCTAGACACTAGACTTCTTCAATGYTCCATTCATGAGCCATAACCAGGTCTTCTCCCTGTCAACTTTTCCTTCAATAATAATAATAATAATAATAATAATAATAATAATAATAATAATCCTGCAAAGGTAGCAGAAAATGAACACACAAAAATACTGTGGGACTTTCGAATCCAAACTGACAAAGTTTTGGAACACAATACACCAGACATCACGATTGTGGAAAAGAAAAAAGTTTGGATTATTGATGTCACCATACCRGGTGGAAAAACATCAGGAAAAACTCAGCCAGTAGTAGGACCTCAAAATCGAACTGCCAAGGCTCTGGCATAAACCAATACAGGTGGTCCCAGTGGTCATCGGCRCACTGGGTGCCATGCCAAAAGATCTCAGTCAACATTTGGAAACAATAAACATTGACAAAATCACGATCTGTCAACTGCAAAAGGGCACCTTACTTGGATCTGCGCGCATCATTCGAAAATACATCACATAGTTAGAGATGCTTGGGAAGTGTTCGACTTGTGGTTTTGTGATACGAAATTCAGCATATAGATCTCGTTCGCTGTGACATACTGTGTTTTTGTGTCAGTAAAATAATAATAATAATAGATGGCCTCTAGAACATGGCCATATAGCCCGGAAAACCTACAACAACCCAATAATAATAATAATAATAATAATAATTTATTACACTACACAAATGTCACCACCAGTGGGCGCTGTTTGCTCATCACTTCCAGTCATGGGACTGTGTGCACTTGCAGTCTTTCAACTTAACAAAAAGATTGGTGCATACTTGCTTATTAAAGTCACTATCCATCTGCAAGCAATCGTATAAATGCGAAAATAAAATTCGGAAAGTGAAGAAGCCCTGAAACATTTAAAACACAGCTGGGGGGAAACTGCATTTTAAAAAGGCATTTTAAAAAGAGAGAAATCTGGAGAGTGCTCCTGTATTTTTTCTTGGTCATATGACAAGCAACACCTGCTGAAATTCTCTCTTCTACAAAACCATAAAAGCATAGGATTCCCTTCCAGTTTTCAATCTGGCAAAACCTTTCATGTGCCTGAAGCCACATTTAATTTATTGGAAGTTATCGGCAGGTTCCCACTTGTCTCTCTGGGTGTTTGAATACACATGCCAAGAATACTATGGTACTTCATACATCAGCATTTCCTTTTGATGAGTACGTGTCTTTGGGGATTCCTGAATGTTTGGGTTCAGAGTCCTAAGCATGGTTAATCTTCTCCTACTTTGACGGCATCAACGTCTTGTCCTCCAGATACAGTTTCCAGTCTGGGGCTGAAACCGAGTGTCGTCTTAAGTCTTGAAGCAAGAAAGGCTTCTATCCTGAATGTAGCTGAGAAAGAATGACCAGTATTAGTCTGGAGGCATAGCTGAGCACCAAAGAACATTCAGAATGTGGAAACATTAGCATTGAAGTTAATGCTTGACATTAATATATTAACATTGATTACTGTAATGTAAATAAATCATAACATTACGTGAATTGTTAATACAGTAATATATTTGCAACACATCTTAATTTAGTATGTTCATGATTAAACATGGTGGAAATTACTTTCTCCCAAATTTACTTCCAAAACAATAAATTAAATTAATATAAAATGTTAACTGATGCTCAGTCCATTAATGTCACTGCAATTTAAAAATCTCTGTCATGAGCCAATATGGTCCTGTGCTTTGGGTGTTGGATTCCAAATCTGGGATTAGTGTTCAAAACCTCACTTGGCCATAAAAACCTATTGGATTATTCTGGGCAGGTCACACACTCTCAGCCAAAGAAGATATTGAAACTGGAAAGCCCACAACAGCATAGAGCAGTGGTTCTCAACCTGTGGGTTCTCAACTTCCCTGAAATCCCAGTCAGTTTACCAGCTGTTGGAATTTCTGGGAATTGAAGGCCAAAACATCTGGGGACCCATAGGTTGAAAACTGTAAAATAAGATATATGAAGCTGATAGGTCAAGCAATGCCCATGGAGCAAGCTGAACTTGGGACTTTTGGATACTGTTACATTTTTGTTTAGGCTTGAGCTATGCAGATGCACAGAGAGAAGAAGAGAGAAGCAAAGAAAGACAGACTGATTTGTTTTTTGGCTGCTGAAAGAAGGCCTCTTATATGGACACAG